CCCCCCCCCCCCTGCACCGCCCACCTCTTGGCCTCCGGCGTTTCCTGGCTCGCCGACAACCGGACCGCCGCCCAAAATGGACGAGATATTGCCCCCGCCCCCCCCCGCGAACACCCATGCTCCGACATGTGCCCCTGCGTGGACTGCTACATCACCTGCCTTCCGCGGCGGAGGGGCTCGAGTGCGCGGATGTCTTTATTGTTCAGCTTCATTGCACGGTTATGGCTGGCGGGCCCCTTCCGCGGGAGGCCTTCCATCGAAAGCCCTGGATCGCCGCGTGAAATGGGCCGCCGCCTGGTGGGGGCGGAGGCCGGGAGGGGCATCGGCGGTCTCCTCGCCCGGCCGGCCGCTGTGGCCGGCCTCCCGGCCGCCGCCTGGCCGGTACCAAGTTCCGAGGGGCAATTTTGAGGGAATCCCCCCCCCCCCCCCCGGGCGGCCGGCCGGTCGGGTCTGCTCCCGACGCTTGTTGCATTGGTATCCTCTGCTGGGGAGGTCCCCCCTCCGGCGAACGGGGAAATTGCTTCCTCTTGGCATTAGGTCGGCCTGGAGGTGCCCCCCCCCGGCGAACAGTGTCGACAAGGCGCGAGGGGGCTCGTTCTCGGCCCCTCTTCCGCGCCTTCGCCCGCCGGCGCCCCTTGCTTCCCCCATCCCCACAGGGCGCGCCTGCCTTGGGCCGGCTTCGCGCCGAGGACAGCCGTCATCTTGGCCGCGCCGCCCTGTGCTGCCCACACATGCCGCCTCGGCCGAAAGCAACCCCGGCGCGTCCTCGCGTCCTGGCCTTCTGTGCGTGTGGGGGTCCCCGGTCGCCCTCCGGCGCCTGTGCGCCAACGGCCTCGGGGCTTTCTACCGGCCCGCTGCTTCGGCACCGCCTCGACCCGGCGCCGGCTTCAGGTGCTGCACAGGCTCTTTCTCCGGCTCCGGCTCGCGCTCGCTCCACCCTCGCCCTTCTCGTCCTCCAACCGTCAACGTGCCCCCTGGAATGTTTCCACGCACAATGGAGCGGGCCCCTTGCCGCTCGACCAAGAGCAAGCAATAGGGGGTTGGCATCCGGAGCGCCGACGCTTCCCGCCTCGGCGCATGGCCCAGTCCTTCCCGAGCGGCAGGGGCAACTTCCGGAGGACGTCACATTGTTCCTCGGCATCCGGCTTCCCTTGCAGCGGCCTCCGACAACCGGGGAGAAGGCATGACACCCAAACCAATCCCCCCCTGCTCTCGGCGCGTGGGCAGGCATATTTAGTGCGTGCGCGGAAGCAGCATCCTACACGTGCCCCCCCCCCCCCACCTGTCCGGTGCAAGGCAAATGGCCGCGCTCCTTCGAGCTTGCCTGCCTGCTCGCCTGCCCGTCGGCCAGTCGACCATGCACTTTCCGCGTACGGACCCCGGCGGCCCCCGCCCCGCTCCGCCCCTGCCCATCATATGACGGCCTCGCTTGGTCCAGGTCCCGGGCCTGCGGCAAATACCTTGCTCGCGCCGGCCCGGCTCGGCCCGGCCCCCACGCCGAGTTGCCCGGCCGAGACTTTCGCCACCCGGACGCCGGGCTCTCTCCGCGGAAAGTTGCCTCCTTCTCTGAAACGACAAGCAATGAGACAGCGCGAAATGGGAAAAATGCGGGGCCGGAAATGGAAAAAATATCCAGATCCAGCGTACTCGTTTGCCTGTTCCCCCGAGGCCCGGGGGATTGCTGGTGTAGCCCCCCTCGGAGATGCACCACCCCCAGGGCCATTTCCTCGTCAATGGCCCGACCCACTGTGGCCCTCTCCCAGGCAACCCATGCGTCTAGTCCACAGTCCCCCGCCCCCCCTCCCCCACGCGGCGAGGGCCGGGAGGTGGTCGTGACCTTGTTCACACGAAATGAAGGCCACTTCCGCGTGGGCCTTCCCCCGAACTGATGAGCAGCCTTTCCCGCTGTCGCTCCCGCTCTCTCGCTCGCCCCCCCCCCCCTCCCGGTCCGGGGCTTTCTCTGTCTGATCTCCGGGCCGATCGCCGTCCCGATGCATCACTCACTGCTTCGCGCTCCGGCCAGGCCCGATCTCGGCCGGGAGACCCATGCGTCTGGCACATACACACACACGCACACTGGCCGGGCTGTGCCTTCTCCTCTGCTTCTCGCTCCCTCCCTCGCGCTCTTTCACCGCCTCCTCGCCGCCCCCCCCCCCCCCCCCCCGTCTGACCCCCGGGCGCCTTGTGGCACAGCGCCCCGCCGCCCCCGCCCCCTGAGCTCGTGACTCTGCTAGATCGCCCAGCCCACCGAATGCATCCTGTGCCCGCTTGCCTGCAGTCGGAACTAGCCCATCCAAACCAGCTGCCCGGCCCTCACAGGGGTTCTCGCCGACAGACCATGTGCACCTCACCGTGCCTACCTGTCCTCGGTTGGCGTGGATCCGACCCACGGGCCGGCACACGCGGCAGGGCACGCGCCTCCCCAGCCCAGCTGGCAAAGGGAGAGCCCGTGTCCTTGGTCGCGCGTGATTGCCCGCGCCGCTCCCGGTACCGGGTCGCCCCGAGGGCGGCCCAGCTTCCGGGCTTCCGGCCGCCTCGCCGCCGCCGCCTTTCGTCCGACCAAACCCCGGCCCGCAGGGAATGTGCCCTTCGATGGGCATGGTTCGCCCGAGGCCAGACGGCCAGACGTAATTCACTCCCTGATTGCCTGTCCTCGTCCCCCCCCCCCCCCCCCCCCCCCCCCCCCCCCCCCCCCCGAGTCTGAGGAGCAGTCCCTGTCGTGCCCCCCCCCCCCCCCCCCCCCCCGCCTCGCCCGTTCCCCGGACCCTGTGCGAGGGCGAAATGTCGGTGCTTCGGTGCCCATCGCGACCGCGGCCCCCGCCTGCCGACCGTGTCCTCCAATATCCAGTCTCCAGGTGTGTGTGTATGTGTCTATGTGTGCCTCTGCCCGTCCCCGTCTCGGGGTCGTCTTGGGCATATTTCCCAGGCGTCGCCTCCAATTTGCTTGCCGCCGCCCCCGTCCCGCCCCCTGGGTGCTGCAACCCCGTCAACAGGAACGCGTCGCCCGTCCGAGTACCAGCTGCACATCCGCGTTGACAGGCCCGACGAATCGGGCATCCTCGGCTACTTGATCGCCCGGCCGCCGGCCCGGCCTCGCGCCAGGGGGTCGTCCTCGCTCATGAGGTGGCCCGGTTGCCGGCCCACCGGACCCGGCCACATGCCCTTGCCGCAGGGCGATGGTCCATTGTGCTGCTTTCGGGCTGCCCTGTGCGCCCCTTTAGGCGCGACCTCCCGGCCCCCACCCCCCCCCCTCCCCGGCCGATCCCCCCCGAGCAGGCGGCGCCCCGCGGCTCTGAAAGGGGGCGGTGGCGTGTGCACCTTTCCGTGCGGCCGGACAAGATCGGCGCTCGGGCCCCGGAAGGGGACCCCGCATGCGGGAGATGCCCCGGGGCTGGCGGCCCGCCGGCTCGTAGTGAATGGGGCGGCCCTTTGGGCGCCTTGTACATTGCGCGTGTGTCATTTCCGGGAAAGCTGCCCGTCGCCGCCGGCGCGGGTCCTTGGTTTGGGGAAAGGACGCGCGAGTCATGCCAGGCATAGCACACGCGGCGGATTCTCCCGGCCCGCATCATGCGCGGTGCCCGCGTGCCGACCAAAGCAATGCACTTTCATCATGCATGCACGCCGCGGCTTCTAATTGGGCACTCGAACAAACAATGGGCACGGCCGCCGGTAAGCCCTCGCCGACAGCCCAGTCCCTGGCCTTGGGCCTCGTTCTCCTGGCAAGTCGCGGATATGCCCGGCCGGGGGCGGGGCCATAGGCGGCGGTAGGAGGGGAGGGGGGCGGGGGGTCACACCAAGCAGGGCGCAGGCAGCGGGGGAGGCGAGGAGCCCGGACGGGGAGGTGTAGATGAGGGACCACCTGCGAGAGGGCCAGGGCCCTTTGACGGGGCAGCCTGGCTGCCCGGCACCCGGGCTTGGGGCGGGCGCGGGCCTGCCGGCTGGCAGTGCTTCGTGGCGCCTCGGCGGCCTGGCCGGCGGTTCCGACCAGCCCGAACAGATGGGATCTCCGGATTGCCTTCTGCTGCGTGTGCCGAGATCCCAGCACACGTGGCGGATTCTGGAGATCCCTCGCACTGGCCAAAGCTAGGGCCGCAAGGTGCTGCGAGTCTGACCCTCTGGCCCTGCCCCCCCCTGCCCTCCATCCCTCGCCCGCGCGCACCCCCCGCGTCCCGCCCCTCTCGGCCCCTTGTCGCCGTGCTCGGCATAATTCCCGCCGCGCCGGCCGCCGGCACAACCGGACGAAAGGTGATGCACCGGCCCACATAGGCCGATGCTCGCCTGGGCCCGGATAGGTTGGCCCCGACCGGGGGGCGCAGGGAACTGGGCGTGGAGCATTCATCATCGGCGCCCCCGGCCCCCCCCCCCCCTCCCCGCTGCCCCCTGCGAGGCCGGCTGACCTCTCCGCGACAGGTCGGCAGAGGGATCCGCGAGGCGAACCATTCGCCCCGCCGGGTGCGGATACTCATCCGGACGACTGGAGGAGGCCGACACCGCGCTGACGCACTCTGTCCGGTTTTTTGGGCCTGTTCGCGTGCGCCCATCCGACGGTTTTGGGGCCGGCTCGCGGACAAACAAGCCCGGGGGTGGCCTCGGGGACCGGGTTCTAGGCCGGGCAATCTCCCGGGCAAGGCGGGCCAGGGGAGGGGATACCCGACGCCTGTTGGAGTAATTCCGGCCGCGGGGGCCAGGATGCCGGGAGGAGGCGACCCCCTCGGGCCATCATCGCGCGCTCTGGCTGTTGCTCTCGCTGCGGCGCATGCTCCGGGCATCTGGCCGCCCTCTCCCGTCCCCCCCCCCCCCCTGGGGCGGGCGACAGCGGGGCAGGCTGCAAGGCGGCCGGGTGAGGGGGCGGGGTTGGTGTCCGGCAGGGCAGCCTGGTCAGCGAGGACGCCAACATGGCCGGGTCCGGCGCTGACAGCCGCGTCCAGTCGGGAGGGCTGGCCGGGGCCAGCGCCAGAGGAAAGCCGGGCGTCTGCGCACGCCGGCACAGCTGGGCCCAGCGGGTCGGGTGGTCACCAAGTGCGATGACCAGCCCGGGGGGGAGCGCGGGGCAAGGACCACCAGGCAGGCAGCCTGACTGATCGCCCCCACACCGGGCGTCGACCGCCGGGCATGGCCCCCGGCCACGGCGTGCTGGAACCAAGCAGCCATGCCGCCGGATGCTCGCCCTGCAAACGGCCTGCAGATCTACACCCACCCCCCGGCGGAAGGGGAGAAGGAGGGGGCCCAAGGCAAGTCCCGCTGGCCGACGGGGCAGCCGGTGTCGAGGGGCGGCCGACCGGCCGGCCTGCCGGCAGAAGCAGGGAAACCGGCTGCCCCGCCAGGGCACGCAGCGTGCCCCCCCCGGCCGAGGGGGGAGGGCGTGGCGGGCCGGCCGGCGGGATCCGATGCAAGGGGGGGGGGACGGGGACAGGCACCGAAGCATGGGCGTCCGAATGTGCCGGCCGGGCGCGCTCCCGCCGCGGGCCACGGGTGTCCCGGCCAACCGCAGGGGGGGGGCCCTTTGCGCCGGGGGAAAGCCATCCACCGGCCGTCCCTCGGGCCGAACGGCAGGAGCATGGCCCAGACCCGATGAGCGGCGAGGGCCCCGGCCGGCCGGCCGGGATGCGCTGGGACATGGCCGGCCGTAGGGGGGCCGCGGCCCGGCTGTGCCAGGCGGGCGCCCGGCCCGGGACCGAGGGACAACTCTGCTCATGGGTGAGTAATCCCCACCCCCCGGGCTCGCGGGTGCGGGAGTCCGCATTTGAGCCGACCTCGATTGTTCGCGACGGCGGCATGCGCGAGAGGGACCGGCGGAGGGGGGGGGGGGACTGTTGTTGCCAGCGGCCCTGCATAACCAAGTTTTGTGGTCCGGGTAATGGGGCTTTCAAATTCCCCCCCGCCCGGGGCCCGGCTGCTGCCTGTTTTCGCCGCTCCCCCGGGAGAATGCTGCCTGGCCGGCGCGAAGGCCGACTGGAATGGTGTCCTCCGTGTGCGCACCGAGGCCGGCCACGGCCCGCGGGCCTGGGCGTGCGACCCACCTGGGGCACATTTTTCCGCCCCCGGCCTTGCGGGTCCCGAAGAATGCGGCCCGCCGCATGGGCGAGGGGGCTGCCCGGCCCCCGGCAGGCAGGCCTCCCGTGTGAAAGGGCCGACCGGCCGGCGGCGCGCGGCCGACAGCCGCCCGGGCGGGCCCTGCTTCCGGGAAGTTCCGCCGGGCCGGCGCGCGGGGGGCGCGCCCGAGCGCCCCGACGCCGTTGGCCGAGAACCCGGAAACAACCGATCCCGGTACTCAGGAAGGGCCGGGAGAGGAGCGTGCGCCTCGCGTGGGCCGGGCCCGGGGGTCCGGAACCGGTGGCACGGCGACAGGGGCACAACATGCGCGCGCGCGCGCGCGCGCGTCGGTGCGCGTGCATACCACCCTCGGGCGCTTGCGGCGGGCCTCGGGCGGGGGGCCGCGCGGGCCGACGCGCCGGGGGCCGTCCCCTCGCGCCACGAGCAGGGGGGGGGGAGCGGCGGCGGCGACCAGAGGCAGGGGCCCGCCGCCGGGGCGGGCGGAGGAACCGCGGCCCGGCCGCGCCGGTTGCCCCATGCCAACACCGGCGCGCACAGGGGGCACACTCCAGGCCGAAGGGCGAGGCGCCGGCAACAAACGCGGGGCAAGCGCGCGCGCGCGCGCGCGCGCACACCGCGCGCCGCGTTCGGTCTCAGCCTGCGGCGTTTCAGTGCCTGGGGCGTGGGCGGGGGCCCCCGGCGGCCCGCGGTCGCGGCGCCCCGGGCCCCTGGCCGATGTGCCTGGCCCCTTCTGCCCCTCCCTCTCTCTCTCTCTCTCT